TATATATATATATATATATATATATATATATATTAATTCCCCTTACTATAATTATTTAAACTTTAATTATACGTAAAATTTTGTTTTCATTTACTTAAAAATTATATCAAATTTTTAATATTTTATTTTTTACTTTTTATTTACAGTATTATGAGATGTCTTATGGTCTGAATATGGAAATGCATAAACAGGTAAGAGGGAATTTTATTTATTTTATAACTAATAAATAACTAATAAAATAAATCTTTAAGTGATTTATTTTATTTTACTTTTATTTTTGTATTTAATTCTAGTTTCTTGACATTTTGCTTAATGTACTTTACACCCTATATAGCAAACAGCAAGCAACCACTTTTGGTACTTGTTAGCCGACTAAATGTGAATTTGTTGGCTGAATTCCAATTAAAAACTATTCTCATATATTTTTAAATACTCATTTTTATTATTTCGTTTTATATAAATATCTACTGACATATAAAATTGATATAATTCATTATAATTTATTGATATTAATATTTTTAAAAAGTAGTAAGTTATTTATTTTGGTACAATTTTGAGAATAAGAGTTTTCATAATATCTCTTTCTTCAATAATCATATAACATTTTTATATAATTCCTAATTTATGAGGTGGAAGATTTTTTTATCTACGAGTATAACTTTAAAAAACATTAATTAAACTAGAAAAATTTAATACATATATAGATATAGTATATTTATGTATACTTGATTTTTTTTATACTCTACTTATTACACCGATAAAACCTATTCTACTTTATAATCCAGTTATTCAAAGTTCCGACTTTTATTAATTTATTTCCAATAAGAAATTAGAAACTTGAGAAAGATATTTCGATAATAAAGTTATTTCATTTTTTACCAGTAGTTTTTCCAACAACCTAACATTTTTAAACTTGCCGCTTTGAAAATTAATTTTTTTTAAAAATACCAAGTTGTTGATTGTCGGTGGAATTTTGAGAATAAGAGTTTGTCATCAGATCTCCAGGTTTTGAGGTCCTAGGAAGCTGTTCCGACTATTCCCGGCTGGACGTCCGGCCGTGTGTATGTATGTAAATAAAATTTTGCCGTAGGATATCTTTAGAACGAATCAACCGATCGAGATGAGCGACACGGCGTTCTAAAGTGTTCATTGAGATTTTGGTCTGATTAGATTTTAAAGTCAATCGCCAGAGCCCTTTCAAAGAAATTCAAAAAATAAAAACCAAAAATACATTTTTTTTAAGTTTTTTCTAAATATTTGACTAATCAACTCCAGACATCAGAGACACTTTTTTGGACTTGAAAAACTAAGTCGAGTGCCGCCAAGCAAGTCAACATCCAACGACAAGTTCAAAAATTCTAGCCATTAAAAAATTTCTAAATCGTTTTTTTTATGTAACTTGAATTTTTGAGCTCGAAGAGCTCAAAATTAGTTGGAAATTTTTCAAGCGAAGCTTGAAAAAAGCAGAAAAATTCTAGAACGACCACTTTTAAAATTTTCAAATAATTATTTTCCTTTATAGCATGTTATTAATTTCTTTTTGTTCATTTTAATTTACCATCAAAAAGGTCCGTAAAAAAATGATTAAAAAAAACTAATCGAAAAGCTTAAAAAAAAGTAAATAAATAAAACGAAAACGAATAGAAAGAGCCACGGAAAAATGGTTATTTCTTTCAGGTGAATGTGTGTAGGATGCACATGCACTGTAGTGCAAGCATCGACGTATGAGCGTATGAACCAACGAACGATTCTCTCAGTAAACGAATGGGTGCTAGGGCAGGATGAAAAAGGGGGGTGTTTGTTAGGGGGTGAGGCTTGGCTCCCAGCGAGATGAGGGAAAGTATAGATATATTTAAAAAATAAAAAAATAAAAGATAGCATTGAGATTAGTAACGGGTAAAAAAATCGATGTCATCGTTGCCATCCTCTTTTGCCTGTAGACCACTGCAGCAAACCCTTTATTTTTTTTTCTCTTTCTATTCCGTCCACCCTTTTATCCCCTCACGTTATACACCTCTATCTCCAATTGCATCTTTTTTTTTACTCACTAAATCATTCGATCTCGCTCTAAAACAGAAACACTTTTGCGTATAGAGAAATAGTTAAAAATATGAAATAAAAATTGTGAAGATAAAAAATAAAAAACATTCTTTTTGTTTTTATTTATTTATTTATTTTTTTTTTTTCACTCTTGATGGTTGTGGATAAAAGTAGTACAAGTAAAAGAAAATAAAAATATAAAATATAAATGTATATATTGAGAGGGCTTTCGTGGGTGGAATGGAAAGGGGAGGGGGTGATAGACAAGGAGGGATAAGAGGGGAAGGGAATGGAATGGAATTGAGTGAGGAGAAGCGGGGAAAGGGGATATAAAGGGTAGAGATAGAGATAAATGGAAAAATAAAAAATTTCAAGGAAAGAAAAATGGATGACATGTCAGGTTGGATGAGTTATATCCTATTGGTCAGTCTGTGAATGTATTTTTTATTTTTTATTTTCAGGACAAATATTTTTTTTTTATTGCCATTGTTTCTATTTTTTACAGCGAAATAAATAGCAATTTTTATTTTTTTGCAGACTGAAATTGCTAAGAGGCTAAATGTTATCATCTCGCAAATTATGCCGGCTCTGCCACAAGAGGTAAGTAAAAAAAAATTTATTAGATAATTGGAGGAGAATTTTTGGAGAAAATTTCGAGATTTAAAAAAAAAAAAATTGATACATACATTTAAAAACATAACATGATAATTAGCATGGCTTACAGCATCAACAACAAGTGTTAAATGCTGTTGAACGGGCTAAACAAGTGACCATGACCGAACTCAATGCCATTATAGGGGTAATTACTCATTAATTACTCATTTTTTAACATTGTTATTTTTTATTTGTTTATATTAATGAATTTTATTTTAAAAATTTTAAAAAAATATTTTTGAAAAATTGCACATATGATTTTTGAAGTTTTTTATAAGTAGAATTTTTTTATAATTCAAAAATGCTCTATCTCTAGATTCATAATTAAGAAATGAACTTGTATCTTGTGATCTATTGATATTTTAAAAGATATAAGCTCATCCCGACATTACACTCGTCGAGGCCTTTTATTTGAGTACCCACATCAATTTTTCATATATTTTATATATTTATATATATGCACAAATGAAAAATATATCAAAATGCATGTGGGTACTCAAATGAAAGGTCTTGATGAGTGTAACATCGGGATGAGCTTATATCATTAAAATTGTCAATAGTTCTCAAAATACAAGGTCCTTTCTTAATTTGATGAATTGCACTGCACTTTCTTAAATATTGACATTTTTAAAGATATAAGCTCATTCCGATGTTACACTCATCAAGAGCTTTCGTTTGAGTACCCACATGCATTTTTTATATATTTGTCATATATACATATTCATAATATATATATATATATATATATAATATACAAAATATATGAAAAATTGATGTGGGTATTCAAATGAAAGGTCTTAATCAGACTAACATCGGAATGTCTTTAAAAATGTCGATACTTCACAAGATAAAAAGTAATTTCTTAATTATTGATATTTTTAAAGATATAAGCACATTCTGATGTTACACTCATCAAGAGCTTTCATTCGAGTACCCACATGCATTTTTTATATATTTTTCATATATTCATATATATAATATACATAAATATATAAAATATATGAAAAATTGATGTGGGTACTCAAATGAAAGGTCTCGATGAGTGTAACATCAGGATGAGCTTATATCTTTAAAAATGTCAATAGTTCACAAGATACAAGGTCATTTCTTAATTATGTACCCAGAGATATTTTCGAATGCAGCCTAATTATCATCATAAATTGACCATCCTGGACACAAAATTTTTCTTATTTTCTTAATAATATTTATTAGAGAAAAAAAATTTTTAATAAATTTATTTACTATCTTTATTATTTTTTTTTTTTTTCAAAAAAAAAACACAATATAATTTTTTTATTTAATAACAAATAATTCGATTTTTTAGCAACAACAACAGCAAGGATTACAACAATTATTGGTAAGTAAATTAATACTCATAAATATTTTAAATAAAATTAATATTAATAATTTAAATAATAATAATAATAATAATATTAATATTAATTATTATTATAAATATCATTACAGCAACAAATACATGCCCAACAAATGCCACATGGAGGAGTAGTACCACCAGCAGCAAGTCTTTTGGGTTTCGCAAGTGCCGCCGCAGCCGCGGCGGCTGTAGCTGGAGGTGGAGGAGTGCCAACTCATTTGACAGGACCATCACCGTCACATCCCGCAGCAGCGGCTGCTTCTGTCACCGCAGCAGCAGTCCAAGCTCAAGCGTTGCTTAAATCATCAGAATTACAACAGCAGCAGCAACAACAGAATCAACAGCAGCAGAGTCAACATCAGCAGCATCGCCTGGTTGCTAATGAAACCCCTGAAGGTCGTAAATCAATTACACTTACTGATGAACGATTGACCAGACGTTCTCTATCACCGGGAGATGATAAATTTCATTTACGTACACCGGACATTGAAGGCGACGTTAAACGACGTAAAGAAGATAAAACTCTTTCTCATGTAAGTTAAATTTAATTTAAAAACAATTATTTTATTTATAAATTTATAATTCTAATTTATATTATTATTAGATTAATTATATTAATTATATTAATATTATTCTTATCAATTTTTTCGCTCTTAATGTGTTTAAATTTTTAACAAAAATTATTTTTTTATTTATTGTCAGGATATACTTATACATACAAACATAAATTACATATCAAAAAAAAATAATATAAGAAATATAAATTAAAATGATACTAAATATAGCCGACATTTTTTACTTTATTTTTTTTTATTAAATTGCACTTATAATTATTCAATTTACCAATAAAAATTTTCTTTTATTTTTTTATAATAATTTTTTCGATAGAAAAAAAATTTTTTAAGTGTCGGCTAACTTGAATTTCATTAAATTAAAAATAATAAAATAAACTAGCAATCTTGCAGTCACTATGTGACTGCCGTGACTTGTGAACTATAAATAAATAAAATTTTGCTTTATTAAATGAAAGACTCTTATTAAATTGCACTGTACTTTTTTAACTATTGAAGTTTTTAAAGATATAAGCTCATCCCGATGTTACACTCATCAAGAGCTTTCATTTGAGTACCCACATGCATTTTTGATATATTTTTCATATATACATATATATAATATATATATATTAAAGATATAAGCTCATCCCGATGTTACACTCATCAAGAGCTTTCATTTGAGTACCCACATGCATTTTTGATATATTTTTCATATATACATATATATAATATATATAAATATATAAAATATATGAAAAATTGATGTGGGTACTCATATGAAAGGTCTTAATGAGTGTAATGTCGGAGTGAGCTTATATCTTAAAAAATGTCAATAGTTCACAAGATACAAGGTCATTTCTTAATTATGTATCATAAATTGACACAAAAAATACAAATTAAACTATTTAGCAATTAGAACAAAAAATTAGTGGGATAAAAGGCAAGGTTTCAATTTTTCATCTAACCACGTCGAACCAATTAAAGCAGACCATAATACCACTAGTACAACAGAGTATTCTTTATTTTATCTCTCTTGCATACTTTATTTTTTTTTTTTAATTTTTCTTTCCAACTATTTGTCTTTTTTTAATTTAATTTTATTCTATCTATAAAATAATAAAAATAATAATTGTTATTATTATTATTATTATTATTATTATTGTTGTTACAATTTTTCTTTTATTTCTGACGTTTAACCGTTGTCCTTACTCACTTACTCCTCGCGCAACTCGTTGGATTTTTTCGCGTCACGAAGCGGTGTAATTTATTTGGCTCGAGCTGGGGATGAGAAATAACGAAGAAGGGGTAGAAGATAAAAAAATTTAAAACAAATAATAAAAAAACACAGCAATAACAATAATAATAATAATAAATATAAGAATAAAGAGGTGGTGGATAGCAGCAGCAAAATAAGTAAAAAAAAAATAAATAAAATGATAGGATGAGGTAGAAGAAGAAATAAATTGAGGGTGAGCACATAAGGGTGGTTTCGCTATATTTTTTAATTTTATTTCTTAATCGTTGATTTTTATTCGTGTCATTTTATTTATACTTTTTTTTTTTATTAAATTAGAATTAAATTGTTACTCTAATCGGACTTTTTCAATTATAGAACAATTAAACTTAAACATTTATAAGAGAGATATATAGATTAATTTTTATTGAACAAAGATAAGCATAAAATAAAAATAAAAAAAAATGCAAATAGAGATAATAATTTATTCAATTGATAATAGAGTTAGAGATATTTTAAGAAACTTATATTTAATACTAGCAATCGGCAGTCACTATGTGACTGTCGAGATTAACGAATTATTAATAAGAAAATTTTAGCTTAATGATTTTTTTATATTTATGACACTAAATATAGTTTGAGTACTTTTTAAATAAATTTTAAAAATAATAGTGATACTAGATCAATTAAAAATAATTTAATGGACAAATATGAAGGAACAAATTTATAGAACCAACAAACTATTAAAAATTCCTTTAAAAACTTTACATAAAAAATTGACAACTAAAAAATATATAAAACCAAAAGGCACTAATTCTTATCAAGACCTTTCCGATGATATCAAATTAAACTAGAAAAATTCTTTTAAAAATAATAAATAAAATTTTGCTTTATTAAATCATGACTTTTGTTAAATTGCACTGTACTTTCTTAACTATTGACATTTTTAAAGATATGAGCTCATCCTGATGTTACACGCATCAAGAGCTTTCATTTGAGTACTCACATGCATTTTTGATATATTTTTCATATATTAATATATAAAATATATATAAAATATATGAATATATGAAAAATTGATGTGGGTACTCAAATGAAAGGTCTTGATGAGTGTAACATCAGGGTGAGCTTATATCTTTAAAAATGTCAATAATTGACAAGATACAGGGTCATTTGTTAATTATTGACATTTTTAAAGATATGAGTTCATCCTGATGTAACACTCATCAAGAGCTTTCATTTGAGTACCCACATGCATTTTTGATATATTTTTCATATATTAATATATACAATATATATAAAATATATGAATATATGAAAAATTGATGTGGGTACTCAAATGAAAGGTCTTGATGAGAGTAACATCGGAATGAGCTTATATATTTAAAAATGCCAATAGTTCATAAGATACAAGGTCATTTCTTAATTATGTATCTAGAGATATTTTCAAATGCAGCCTAAATATTTATAATAAATTAACTATTTTAGAAAAGAAAATAAAACATTGAAAAGGCACTAATTCAGGTCCGGACCTTTCTAATTATACTAAATTTAATTTAAAAAAGTTCTTTTTATCATATAAATACGCCGAAGACAAATTTTTTCTTACTCTCTTAATTATATATATTTTAGATTTAGATTTAACTGAATCAATTTAGACAATTTTTGTGGTATAGTTACATAAGTTAAATATCCAAATATTTTATTCTTGAAAAATTTTTTCATTTTTAATGTAGAATTTATCTTACTTATTTAATATAAAAATTTTAAATTTTTAAAATATTTGTATTTGTTAAATAGATCCTCAGTATATGATAAAGCTACATTATTAATATTTATTTATGGCAAAACTTAATTAATTTTTTTTAATTTCTTCCTTGTACTTAAAAACATGACCTATGTTTTTACAAGGTAACATTAAAAATAAAATAAAATTTAGTATAAATAACTTGAGCAAACAATAAAAAAGTAAGCAAGATAAAGGAAGAAAATATAACATGTAAAAAAAGGAACTAAAAGAAAAAGTAAGCTGGAGAAGAAATAGAATGAAATAGAAGTGGTAAAAGTATTGGATAAAAATATATACAACACATATGTACTATGTACATATACTTGTTTATATCTTAGCAAAAGGTAGTAGGGAGAGTTTGAAAATTCCGAGATGCACACATATTCTTTATTCTTCATATATATATATATATATTATACATAATAAAAATTATAAAAAATGTGAAAGAAATGAAAAATGAAAAATAAACTTGAGCTTGAAGAGTGGGGATTTAAAAATGGCGGTTGTAAAAGTAAAAAAAAGAGGAATATAAAAGGATGAATTGTGCCTAGCCGGTACGTAACAGGAGGGGTGTTAAGGGGAGGGAGGATGCCAGAGGAAAGGAAAGAGGATGAGGATGAGGGTGGCTATGATGACAAAACATTCGCTCTGAGCTTCCGGATGGCGAAGAGGAAAATGTCAAGGTTGGGGTAGTGTAGGTAGGAAAAGGGGAGAGGAAAAGGGAAAAATTGTCGAGTGAGAGAAAGATGAAATATTGAGTTTAGTAAGAATATAACGGAGGAGAAAAATCTGAAATAGTGGGATAGAAGGGATGAGCAGGAGACGTTTAAGGGTGAACAGGGTGAGAGATGGTGAGGTTTATATCCATCATTTTGTATTTTTCGCAGACATAAAAATCTATACTATCCTCTGACGCTTTTATACTCTTGCCATTTTATTTTATTATATTATATTCAACCCTTTTTTTTCTTGTTTGTGCTTTATTTTTTATTTTTTTCGTTTATTCTTGAGGATATTCACCGAGCTATACAATTATAGCTAGGGACACTTTATAAAACATATTAATTTAAAGATTATTTTGATGATTGCATTTAAAAATTCTTATATAGAAAAGGTGGTATTAAAGAAAAAATTGACCGACTAAATAAGCGAAAATTTAGTATTTTTGTACATTAATAACAATCAGCAGTAGAGTTTTTATTTAACTTGTTTGACTTTGTTACTTGATAGCAATGCAACAACCCCTGAGCTCTGTTCAGTACCCCTTTCTTTAGCTTTCTCAATTTTACTTTTATAATAAATATTAATCTGTTATCAATGACGTTAATTAGTAGATTTTCATATAAATCTATTGTATTTGTCCTCATAACGGAACTTTTCAAAAATTTTACTATTTCCTGACTCAGCTCGTCGAGCTGGTTCAAAAAAATACCATTGGTTCTAAAGTTTATACATGTATGTATTTATATACATACGATATAATCGGCCTTGTCGCTACGGTAACTCACACAATTCTTATCGTATCTCCATAAAACGTAGCATACTTATTTTTTGGACGATTTCCAAGGTTAAGTTCGAAGATCAGCTAAATTGAAAGGTTAGTTTAGAAATTACAGCAATTATAAATTTTTAAAAATTAACAAAAATTTAAACTTTTACTGTCTCTCCGCGCAATAACTATTTAATGCGATAACTTACTAAATTGCTGTTAATTTTATCTGAAAGCTCTTTTAATAAGCTTTAATTTACATAGCTATATATTTTCCTAGATCAATAAGTTTAAAAATGACAGTAATTAAAAAGATTAAAAATTTTATAAAATTGTGAGTTCTAGTGGTTCTTTAAGCAATTACTATTAAATTCGATAACTTATTAAATTCCTGTAAACTCCATCTGAAAGCTTATTAAATAGGCTCTTATCAATCTACATATTTAAAAAAAAATTCAATTTTTCCATTATTTTTTTTACATTTTATTATATAAATTTATCCAATTATTTTTTTAATTTTTATTCTAATAAATCTCCATTAATTCCAGCTTTCAAATAGCAATTTTTCTTCCACTTATAATTAATACAGGATAATAATATTGTATGAAATAAATTTGTGGAAAGAAGATAAGTTAATACATATAAATAAATCGCTATATAGTAATCTACGTGTGGTAGTATTGATTTCAGCGGTATTACAGGGTGACGAAAGAGGTAGTAGTGGCAACCAGATACAGATACAGATACAGATACAGATACAGATACATAACAGACTACATAAGACGATGAGCTATAAGCTGTAAGCTCTAAGGGTTGTTTTATAGTTGTATAGTTATAGCTTTAGTGGGGGTAAAAGAAACAAAAAATAATAAAATAAAATATGAGATACAACCAATAAATTGTTTTTTGACATTTGTCTTGCTTTTCACTATTTATTGCTTGGAATTTATTATAAAATTTATATGCAGTTATTATTACTTGACCTGTCTAGCTATTCTACTGTTAAATATGATACAAATGTTAAATCATCTCCGTCTATTTCACTACCCTATCCTATACATAATAGACTACTCAGCAGACCAAGAGACCACTGCACACCGACTATTATCATTATCAACCTCTTTATACATATATATATATATATATATATATATATATATATATATATATATATATCTGTATCTGTATCTGTATCTGTATCTGTATCTGTATCTGTATCTGTATCTGTATCTGTATCTGTATCTGTATCTGTATCTGTATCTGTATCTGTATCTGTATCTGTATCTGTATCTGTATCTGTATCTGTATCTGTATCTGTATCTGTATCTGTATCTGTATCTGTATCTGTATCTGTATCTGTATCTGTATCTGTATCTGTATCTGTATCTGTATCTGTATCTGTATCTGTATCTGTATCTGTATCTGTATCTGTATCTGTATCTGTATCTGTATCTGTATCTGTATCTGTATCTGTATCTGTATCTGTATCTGTATCTGTATCTGTATCTGTATCTGTATCTGTATCTGTATCTGTATCTGTATCTGGTTGCCACTACTACCTCTTTCGTCACCCTGTAATACCGCTGAAATCAATACTACCACACGTAGATTACTATATAGCGATTTATTTATATGTATTAACTTATCTTCTTTCCACAAATTTATTTCATACAATATTATTATCCTGTATTAATTATAAGTGGAAGAAAAATTGCTATTTGAAAGCTGGAATTAATGGAGATTTATTAGAATAAAAATTAAAAAAATAATTGGATAAATTTATATAATAAAATGTAAAAAAAATAATGGAAAAATTGAATTTTTTTTTAAATATGTAGATTGATAAGAGCCTATTTAATAAGCTTTCAGATGGAGTTTACAGGAATTTAATAAGTTATCGACTTTAATAGTAATTGCTTAAAGAACCACTAAAAACTCACAATTTTATAAAATTTTTAAACTTTTAAACTGCTCTCATTTTTAAACTTATTGATCTAGAAAAATATATAGCTATGTAAATAAAAGCTTATTAAAAGAGCTTTCAGATAAAATTAACAGCAATTTAGTAAGTTATCGCATTAAATAGTTATTGCGCGGAGAGACAGTAAAAGTTTAAATTTTTCTTAATTTTTAAAAATTTATAATTGCTGTAATTTCTAAACTAACCTTTCGATTTAGCTGATCTTCGAACTTAACCTTGGGAATCGTCCAAAAAATAAGTATGCTACGTTTTATGGAGATCCGATAAGAATTGTGTGAGTTATAGTAGCGACAAGGCCGGTTATATCGTATTTATATAAATACATACATGTATAAACTTTAGAACCAATGGTATTTTTTTGAACCAGCTCGACGAGCTGAGTCAGGAAATAGTAAAATTTTTGAAAAGTTCCGTTATGAGGACAAATACAATAGATTTATATGAAAATCTACTAATTAACGTCATTGATAACAGATTAATATTTATTATAAAAGTAAAATTGAGAAAGCTAAAGAAAGGGGTACTGAACAGAGCTCAAGGGTTGTTGCATTGCTATCAAGTAACAAAGTCAAACAAGTTAAATAAAAACTCTACTGCTGGTTGTTTAATAAAGTAGCTTTTGCTGAGAATCGACAATCAAAAATACTAAATTTTCGTTTATTTAGTCGGTCAATTTTTTCTTTAATATCACCTTTTTTTTATAAGAATTTTTTAATGCAATTATCAACATAATCTTTAATATGTTTTATCAAGTGTCCCTAGTTATAATTGTATAGCTCGGTGAATATCCTCAAGAATAAACAAAGAAAATTATAAACTATATTATTAAGAGAATAAAAAAAATTTTGTCTCCAGGATTGTCAATTAATGATAATAATTAGGCTGTTTTTTAAAATACTCTATCTCTAGATACATAATTAAGAAACGATCTTCTATCTTGAGAACTATTGACATTTTTAAAGATATAAGCTCATCCCGATGATACACTCATCACGACCTTTCATTTGAGTATCCACATCAATTTTTCATATATTTATATATATTATATATATGTACATATGAAAAATATATCAAAAATGCACGTGGGTACTCAAATGAAAGGTCTTAATGATTGTTACATCGGGATGAGCTTATATCTTTAAAAACGTCAATAGTTAAGAAAGTACAGTGCAATTACCGCTCAATAATCCCGTTTTCACGTACAGGTGGTTTGTCGGTAATAAGCCTGCATGCAAATCCATAGTACAACATACCTATCCATCTACACTTTGTTTATTTCTTTAACATATACGTTTATAAAAATTACTTATTTTATCTATCTATCTACCTTTTTTCATAAAAAATATAATATATAAATTAATTTTCAGGATAGCGATGGTGAAAAAAGTGATCAAGATCTTGTAGTCGATGTTGCTAATGAGGTAATAATTAAAAAAAAATTTTTTTTTATATTTTATTTATTAAAAAAAATAAAATTTTTTTTTTTTTTTTTTAAGGATGGATCACCTCAACACACTAACGGTGATCATATAGATCACCGGGAAAATGGAACATTAGAAAAAATAAATCTAACAACCAACCACGGTATTTTGTCCTCAATAAACAACAACAATAGTGGTGGAGGATCAATTAAAGATCGACCTTCGTCTCGCAGTGAAAGTTCATCAGCACGGAGTACACCCTCACTGAAAAGTAAAGAAGTAAGATCTTGCTACCAGCAAGGCAAATAAATAAATAAATAAATAATAATAATAATAATAATACTTTTTCAATTTTTAGTTTATTTGCCAGCCAATAAACTTAAAATTAAAAAAGTATTAAAAAGCAACCAATCTTTAGAAATAAATGTTAAAAAAAAATGATAATAATAATAATTTACATGGAATTTATTAATTATAATTGGGATTCAGGCAGACAAACCGGGGACGCCAGTGGGTTTGCCGAGCAAGAGCTCCCCGAGCAGTTGTACCCCAACTATGGGAGCAATCCTTGGACCTTTAACGTCGCGAAGCGTTTACCATCCGGCCTCCTCGCAGCAAACCTCACCGCAGGGATACCAGGGCTTGCACTCCCGAGGCAGTGAACCACCACAATCACCTTCCGCATATTCTAACTTATCATATTCTAGAACCTCGTCATTAGTAAGTATTTAATTATGCAATATCTAATTTAATAAACATTAAATTATTATTATTATTATTAATTTTTTATTTATTTTTAAGCTTGGATATGATAATCATGTACGTGTTCCATCTTCAAATGGTTTTAATAATATACCAGGTGGGAAACCGTAAGTATTTATTTCTTTTTTTTTTTTCCTCAAATACTGACTAGTAGTATTTTTTATAAAAAAGTAAATTGAATTTTTTATTGATGTTTTAAAAAGAAATATTTTACATATTTAATTTATATTTGAGATAAATTAAAATGTACCGTGACTAAAACCCTGGTTTACTGCTTGTAACATTGTAGGTTACTAGCAACCTTGCTTTATTAAATAATGAATTTTTTTAAATTGCACTGTACTTTCTTAAATATTGACATTTTTAAAGATATAAGCTCATCCCGATGTTACACTCATCAAGACCTTTCATTTGAGTACCCACATGTATTTTTCATATATTTTATATATTTATATATATCATATATATGTATATATGAAAAATATATCAAAAATGCATGTGGGTACTCAAATGAAAGCTCTTGATGAGTGTAACACCGGGATGAGCTTATATCTTTAAAAAAGTCAATAGTTGAAGAAGTACAGTGCAATTTAACATAATTAAGAAATGACTTTCATATATACATATATATAATATATACAAATATATGAAAAATTTATCAGAGTGCGAAGCTCGAGGTAAGACAGGTAGGAGAGAAAAGCACCGAATTTGAAAAGTACGCATAAATGAGTGTGAATATTGTAAAGAGTATGTTAGAGTGAGAGCGAAATTAAGTTAGAGCGATCAGACGAACCCGCGAATTTCACGGAGCCGTCGACGACTTATGAGACATCTGGAGGAGGACTACGCGAGAACGAGGCAAATTCGAACCGACCAATGACAGCATTTTATCAACGGCAGCAGAATGAAGCACCACCTGGTGGCCACAAAGCTGAACCGCGCTGGCATATCAACCAATCATCGATCGCACGGAGTACAACGATCGGTTAGAAGAAGCTGTGAGCTGATTGGATGCGAGTTTTTTGGAACTAACGGAAAACTAAAGAACACATGTTGCCGAGGAGGCACTGTCATATTTTAATAATTAATTCTGATCTGGACTCCGTACCGTTAAGTCGCATTAATTTCAAGACGTATATTTTTGCTAATAAATTTTGTTGTATTCAGTGATTGGATCGATTGTTAAATTTCTTTTTGTAATTAATTTTGTACCGAGTGACGCTTGTCGAAGATTTATACCTAGGATTATTATTTATTAAATGTGGGTAATCAAATGAAAGCTCTTGATGAGTGTAATATCGGGATGAGCTTATATTAAAATCTGCGCATTACTATTTAATTGTAATAATTTGCATAAATTTGAACATTGTAACTCAATTATTAATTATCAAGATAATTGCCTAGATTTAATATTCGCAAATTTATTTTGTAAAGTAAAAAAGTCTGACTGGACGTTAGTAGGCATTGACTTATTTCATCTTACTTTGTTGCTGAGGTAGTTACATCTCCTCACAAGTTTAATTAATTTTTTGTAAAAAAAAGTATGAAAAGTTTTGACTGGTCATTGCCCTACATCAAACAGACTGGCAGATCTCTCTATGAATACTTATACTAATCACCTTTGTAAAATTATTATTTCTGTACAATTATTATTTCTTTTCAATGTATAATTTACGTTTTTTTTTTTTTTTTGTTATCTACTCATAGATGCGCAATATAAATGAGTCATCTTTGAACTCTACGAAGATAAACAATGTTTACTCGCCATATGGCTATCTTGTACTTAAAAACACTAAATTTGTTTACTTATAAGTACTCTATATATATATATATATATATATATTATTAACCCTGTTAATGGCTTTGGCTGTTGGGTTTAATTATCCCTAAATAAATAAATAAATAAATAAATATCTTTAAAAATATCAATATTTAAGAAAGTACAGTTTAATTTAACAAAAGTAATTTAATAAAGCAAAATTTTATTTATTTATCGTTCACAAAATTACTAGATTTTTTAATTGGTCAATATTAATTTCTTTGACCCTTAAATTATATTTTCAATTTTTAATATCTTTGTAAGCCCCGCTTATGTACATAATTACAATTTTATTTTCCAGGGCATACTCATTTCATATGAACGGTGAAGGAAATTTGCAACCAGTCCCATTTCCAACGGACGCACTAGTAGGCCCCGGAATACCCCGACATGCTCGACAAATAGCCAGCTTAATCCACGGAGAAGTAGTATGCGCTGTAACGATATCCAACCCCACAAAATACGTTTACACTGGAGGTAAAGGATGCGTTAAAGTGTGGGATATGGATTGTTCATCACCATTATCTTCTAGTAGCAGTTCTTCTTCTTTAACACCATCAGCAGCACCAACAGGAGCCGACTCAGCAGCACCAGGAGCACCAGGTTCAACACCACCACCGGCAGCACCAGCGCCATCTATAAAACCTGTATCACAGCTGGATTGTTTACAGCGAGAGAATTACATTCGCTCTGTAAAATTACTGCCAGACAACAGGACACTAATTGTTGGTGGTGAAGCTAGCCAATTGAGTATCTGGGACCTAGCAAGTCCCACACCTCGCATAAAAGCCGAATTAACCTCAACAGCTCCAGCGTGTTACGCTCTTGCAATATCTCCAAATTCAAAAGCCTGCTTCAGCTGCTGCAGCGACGGCAATATTGCAGTCTGGGATCTCCAGAATCAATCTCTAATAAGACAATTTCAAGGACACACTGATGGTGCTTCTTGCATTGATATTTCTTCAGATGGATCCAAATTGTGGACAGGAGGGTTAGATAATACTGTTAGGTGCTGGGATTTAAGGCAAGGACGCCAGTTGCAGCAGCATGATTTTACTTCTCAGATTTTCTCATTGGGGTATTGTCCTACTGGTGAATGGATTGCTGTGGGGATGGAAAATTCTAATGTTCAGGTTATTCATGCTGATAAGACTGATAAATATCAATTACACTTACATGAATCTTGTGTGCTTAGTTTAAAATTTGCTAATTGTGGCAAGTGGTTTGTCTCCACGGGTAAAGATAACTTGTTAAACGCCTGGAGGACTCCTTATGGTGCTTCTATTTTTCAGGTAATTTTTTTTTATATATTTTTGAGGGGTCATTCTGGTTCCAGCGCTAAAAAAAAAGCAAATATTCATGATTAATTTCAAGAATTTTTGTAGCAAATTATGGCAAAAAAAATTGACTTGTAGATATTTTAAAAAATTAAAAATGCAATTTTTCAAATTATTTTTTAGGCGGGAAAAAGATTTAGTTTGAAAAGTTTAAGGTAGATGGCGCTAAGTTCGGGGATTCCCCGGGAATATGGGAAATTTTTGTTGGTTAGGATTGAGTTTTGTTTAGGAAGAGTTATTTTGATGATTATTGGGAAAATTAAATGAAGTTTTGGTAAATTATTAATAAAATTTTAAATATTAGACATAAAATTCGGAAGAAATAAATTTTTAGATTAAAATATTGCAAATTTTATGAAGAAGCTTAAGGAATTATTCTGGTTCCGGAGCTTACAAAAAAAAAGCAAATATTCATTATTTTTTTACACAAAAATTGTTATAAATATTAATGAGATTAATTCATTAGCAGATCTTTGATAATTTTACAAATTTTTTAACATATAAATTATAGCAAAAAACACATGTAGAAATTTTTAAACATTAATAATGCAATTTTTTTAAATTATTTTTTAGGCGGGAGAAAGATTTAGTTTGAAAAGTTTAAGGTAGATGGCGCTGACTTATGGGATTCCCCGGAAAAATGGGTAGTGTTTTGAGGTTAGGATAGAGTTTTGCTTAAAAAGAGTTATCTTGATGATTATTGGGAAAATTAGAGGAATTGTTGGTAAAATATTAATAAAATTTTAAATATTGCACATAAAATTAGGGAGAAATAAATTTTTAGATTAAAATAGTGCAAATTTTATGTTCATTATTTTTTTTTTAAACATAAACCTATTATAGATATTAATATAAAATTTTTTTTTTTTTTTAGAATATTTAACTTTATTAATAATTTTAATTTTCTTATTTTAGTCAAAAGAATCATCATCAGTTTTGAGTTGTGATATTTCAACTGACGATAAATATATTGTCACTGGCTCTGGGGATAAAAAAGCAACTGTTTACCAAGTTATTTATTAACGTTTAAATGTGTAATATACTTTTAGATAATTATTTGATAATGAAAGTTATTAATTATTAAAATTAAGGCTTGTAAATAAATTATATATTTAGATTAATTACTATGATATTGATGAAATTAAATACCCAATTACAACGATTAACTATTTACAGTCTGTTTAAAAAAATTTTTTTTTATCGCTCAAAAAAATTATTTAATTATTAAAAATTTTGTAAAAAAATAAAATTATCTATATAATTATAAAATTAATAATGTAAAAAAATCAACTAAAGTCTGTGATCAATAATTAATCATCGTATTGAGATCACTTTATTTAAAATAATTTAATACATATAAATACGATGGATAAAAATTTGTAAATTTTTTTAAGTCTAGGTTTATTTTTTCTCAAATTAAAAAAACAATTATTATTTGCGAATTTATTTTTTTACGACAAATAATTACATTTTATTTAAATTGTACAATTTTTTAAAAAGTAAAAAATCATTAAAGAAAAATTAAATAGATTTCTTATGATTTATAATTTATATAAATTTATTTACATTTTTTAATTATTTTCTTAAACGAAAAAATTGAATTTGAAAAAAAAAATTCTTGTAAATATATTAATTAAAAATGAAAAATTTTTCTAATTTTATTTTTTAAAATACTTAAATTACTTTTATTAAAAAATCTAAAATATACATAATAAAAATTTCAATATTTATAAATTTATTTATGAATATTTTAATAACTATAAATAAATGGAAATTTACAAGTCATTTATACAAATATCACTTTAATATTTTAATTAATTTAAATTAAAAATGACAGTCTGTTTATTTTTTTTTTTTTTTTTTTTTTTAAT